TGATTTCAACATTTGCTTCAGTGATGAATGTTCTTTTTTTGAATGGCACAGTTAATCGCCATAATTGTTGCTATTGGGCTGATTCAAATCCTCACATTTTTCATGAAGTACATACTCAAAGTCCCCAAAAACTTAATATATGGGCTGGAATTGTTGGTGACCGTATTGTTGGCCCTTTGTTTTTATAAGGCAATTTAACCGGACAAATATATCTGGAGCTTCTGGAAGATACTATTAATCTCCTTATCAATGATATTATTGGAAACGACCCCAATAATTATCGGGAGGATCTGTTAATATTTCAACAAGGTGGGGCTTCTCCGCACTATACTTTGCCTGTTTGGCAGTATTTAGATCATTATTTTCCGGATCTCTGGATTGGCAGGCGGGGCACTATCGAATGGCTCCCACGATCACCAGACTTTTGGCCGTTAGATTTCTTTCTGTGAAGTCATTTGAAAAGCAGATTCGGATCTGAATCGTTGAATTTTTTGTTAACCAAAAGAGATTACGCAAGTTATAGTCTATTCATTCCCAATTGGAACGGCAATAAAAATAAGAGTACAGTCATAAACATTTCTTGCCTGTGGCCCCTAGTCGCCCAGATAGTTAGTAAACGTGCTATTAAATGTAGTTGAGGAATAAAGGTTCGGCTAGCTGGACTGGCTGATAACTAATTTTTTGTCCGTTTCACAATATTTCTTTATCAGTGCTGCGTGTTCGTGGGGTTAGGTGAGGTAGTGAGTGGTTTTGCAAACCACTTCTAGAGATCAATTACCCTAACACCAAACTGATATTTTTGCACTTGACGCGCGTTTCGCTAACAGGGTTAGCATCTTCAGGAGAAGCAAATTGATACTGAATCTAAAGACAAGGGTAAGCTGTTTATATACCTAACGTGTTTTGGTCCGATGTGGACTTTGTTTGTTAAATGATGATTATCCTAATCGAACCACTACCTGCAAATTGATTCGTCAACAATAGATTAAAAAGCTGAGTTCAGTGAGCAGCTTCTCCTAAATATTCCTCCAAACTCGGTTATTGTTATGGATAACGCTTCGTATCATTCTCGGTTATTGACTACAATGCCAAACAATAACACAAAAAAAGCAGATATTGTTGATTTCATGCGAAATCATGACATGGAAATACCCGAAAAGATTCCAACGAAAAAGGTATTACTGGCGA